GGTATGCTAACTTTCGCGCTATCTGGTTTATCTTGCCTTTGAAGGATTCTAACTTGAGCTTCGGAGCCCTTACGCCGGGTTCTCCCCGGAGCTTCTCTTCTCCTTCCGTTTCAGGTCCCTGTTACTCAGTTCAGAGGCAAGATCATCGACAGCTAAGACTGGCCAGATTGTGCATCATCACCTTGGTTTACAATTCTTTCTAGTTAGAGGGATTTTGTAAAAAAATAAAAGATCTCAGAATAATTCCATTTATTGAAATGCTGTTTGTTTCTAACTGCAACATGTTGTACTTCTTAGAGCTTCACTCTAACTGCAACATGCTGCACTATCGTTTTAGAGCTTCACTCTTAGCAGGAGTGACTGTTCCCAAGAAAATTTCATGTTCCAAGTAAATAAACCATCAAAGAAACATTACATATAATTGCACGAAAGCAGTTAAAATTCAAATGAAGGTAGACAATTGAATATGAAAGATAGATGAAAAACAGATGAACAACAAAAGCTAAAATTTTTTAACCAACTGTTTTGAATGCACTCATACCTTAATGGGATCTGAATAATTATTCTCCATATGAATATCAGTTTTCCCAGTCAATAGTGAAACATGCCTGGTCTTTGAATGCAGTAACACATTCTTCTTTCTGGATTCCATTGCAGAAGCCAGAACTTCGAAAGGTTGCAATCGGAACTTTTTTGATGACGAGCAAAATGCACTTGAAATTATACTTGGGTGCTTTCTTACTTCATTCTTTGCATGGGCAGGAGATGTAATGTTTGAGCTTTGACCAGAAGGTGTAGCACTACTGCACTGATCAAACATACTTCTATACAAAGATAGAACATGCTTCTCACGGTTTGCAATTTCTTCTTCAAGTAACTCGATTTCTGCTATCAACTCCTTTGTCTGAAAAAAATAGGAAAAGAAAAAATAGCGAAGGAAACATAACATCTGTGGTGTAATATTGACAACATAGAATCTATTATTAGTATTGATGAGTGACCCTGAAAAAAGCACAACACAGTAAGAGCATATGATCTGTATGAACAACCCAGAGGTTTTGTGTAACAACCATGATAACCCATGTCTCTATTAGAGAAAAATTAGGTATAGATATGGATGAGAAATAGTTAGGATTTAGGTGCCATAACTATTACTGCTAGATGGCAAAGTTATTTAGTGAAAAAACTAAAAAAAAAGAACTTTTTTCTATGAAAGTGAATTTTGGTATCTGTCCAGTAATATTTTTTCTTATTTGACATTTTTTGAGCAAGACTAAATATCATCTTTTCAATTCTGTCCCATTGATATTTGATTGTCAAGACAAAACTTGCAATTTATTCTGATAGGGTTTACATGTTATTGACATGATTTTCAACAGGAAAAATCTATGATGCCGGGAAGACATGATACAAGAAAGGTCTTGACCAATCAAAACCTCCAATGGATTTTGATGAAAACCCACCTGATTGGTTACCACTTTTATGATGCCTGTTGATTTGTTGCAAGTTATTCTGTTATCATGTCTTTCCGGCATCATAGTCGAACCCTTTTCAATAATGTAACTATGTTTTACAGTTTCTTGCTGGCTTGGCCATCTTTGTCCTCATAGAACTAATGGAGGGCCTGCACCATGTATCTAATGGGATCTTAATGCAGACTAACTTTGTAGAAAATGCAAAATATAGCAAGGGAATTGATCTTGAAATAAGCTTTATAGAACAATAGGCACTATTCACGATTACTGTTCATGCCACCATAGCAACAGTATAGAACGGAGAAAAAAGGAAAAGGAATAAGGGCAGAAAATTCAGAGATAAAAATTCTTATTTAAAAAGAAATCTTATTTTTATTAATTTTTTTAAAAAAGCCTCCAATAATTAAATAACCAGACCCAAAAAAAAACCTAAGTTCTACCTAAGACTATTTATAGAATTAAATCCTTATCATAGGCCTACTTCTATTGGGGTGAACCAAAATTCTATTATAATCCTAATCTAAGATATACTTGCGAAGCAAGTTTAACTCTATGTGTAAGACTCGTAACTTGGAAACCCACTTCTAGTTAGATTCTGATTCCAAATAAGAAACAGAAACAACTGAGGCTCAGTTAGCACCTTATAAATAAGACTCGGCAATTAAGATAAAACCCTGAAGAACTACTACTGTTGTGTCATCCTGCACCAATTCCTCAAGGTATAGAGAATTTCGACATTGAATGTGATGATATGTACTCTAACAGCTTGAGCACAGTAGATTCTTGACTATCAACTTGCAATGGCTTCTTTGATGCCATTGTATAGTAAGGCCATTGGCACAAGCCCACAAAAACTTTTTATTTCATTTAAGTTTATAAGTATTGAACCTGCAATAATAGATAGTAATTTAGGTGCTTTAGGCAAGCCACTGGCATGTCGACACGCGGCCAAGGGCAGAGCCAATCAGTGCGTCTGGCAGGGCAGAGGTCCATGCCCAGCGTGGGACCAATGGCGTCACCACACACGAAGAACTAGGATGGCTGCCCGCCTAGGGCTGGACCGCATCCTGACCGTCCGCGGTGTTCGTTGTCAGGCAACCTCAAGTATAAATAGGGCATGACTCCCCTAAGGTAAGGGGCCAAACTTTCATCTCTCCAAACCCTCTTACTCTCTAGCTTTTTGGCGACCTCATCCGAGCTCCTTGGACCTCGTTCGCCCTCTTTGCTACGCCCTCACTAACTTGATTGTCGGAGTCCCCGCCTCGGGTTATCACCTGGGGCCTCTGACGTCCCCTTCTTCCGTAGGTACCGACCTCAGCTGACCTCGGGCAGACTTCACCAGCCCTCGGCTGCAACGCACTTCGGGCCCCTCTAACCCTTGGCCTCAGCATCCCTTGGGTCATTTGGCTAGCTGTTAGAATGCTCGGGTCAGGGGTATTTTGGTCATTCTGGATTAACTGCTTGAGAGTGAAAGGTCTGTTGTATCTGAGTTTAAGTTATGTGTCCCATCTTCTGAAGTTCACAACAGCAGTAGATTGGTGGTGGTTGTGTCGTGGTGATTGGTGTATCTATGTTTCAAAATATTTAAAAGTGATCTCCTGTACCTTGTGTATAATCAGTTCTGCAGTGTGCAGCCCAAGTGTTTGATGTGAGGACTGAGTGATTTCAGTCTTAGTGTGTTGATGGTGAATGGTTCTGCAGTGTGCAGCCYAGGTGTTTGATGTGAAGACTGAGTGATTTCAGTCTTAGTGTGTTGATGGTGAATG